GCGTCCCTGGTCGGCAGATATTGGGTGGTGATGGACTAACTGTCCTCTCCACCACCTGGGAATATAATATTCCCTGCGGACCAAAAAAAGCTGGAATAGAAACAAACATGGAAAATAAAAATAACAAGATAAAAGTTACGGCGCAGGGCTTAAATAGCCCAGTACCGGCGGCAAGTTTTGATCCACTCGAGAGTCACGTGTCCTCGTCATCCTGCAATCGTGAAGGATGAAGTATAGCAAATGGTGTAATGGTATAAGCCTAGCTAATACTAAGAAAAAAATTTCTGGAGCACAGAGGAGAAAGTTGAAAAAGATGCTTCAGGAAATAATAGTTAGTCAACCCACGACACTCCAAAGGAAAAATCGGACTCTTTCATAAGATCTGAGGCAAAGAGGATCAGATCTCCCGAGGAGTTGACAACTGAGAATAAACCTAAGAAGAAAAAGAGCTCGCCGTAATCGAATACACAGTCGAAGCCAAGCCATACTTCACTCAAAGGAACCTTAAGTCAGAATCCTGCGAGTAAGGTTGACATCGACAAGCCAGAAGCCGGCCTCCAACGGACAAAATTCCAATAGACCAACAGTGTAAAATAGAAGACCTGGTAAACGATAAGATAGTGGACCACACAATCGCTTTAAAGAGCGTGAGCTGCGAGTTCAGCATGGGCGTGATGTAGACGAGGTTGGCATCTCACCAATGTGTCAGCACCCTAAAGAACTTAGTGGAAAGTATCCCTGTGACGGCGCTATGCTAGGACTGACAAAGAAGAGCGAGCTTCCGGTGCTCTTAAAGTCCACTGTCTACATAAAAGGATGGGGCAGTAAACTGGCTAATGAACGTATACTGGAAATTCTTGGTGGAAACTAAAACACTTAAAGCGGTACCCAAAGCATCATTAGCAAGTACTGGTAATTTTAGGGAGTCATATCCTAAAAGCGAGAAGGAAATCACTCACTCGCCAGAAGACACAACAGCAGTGCTTTCCAAAATTGGGAAGGTGTCGATTAAAAATACTGCTATTCATATGCCTAATAAAGACACCGCAGTGCCATCCATAGTACCCACTGCATTAATCGCTGGAAGACAGTTTAATGGATGACCATGATTAAGGTTATCCAAATAAACCTCCATCGAAGCGAGACGGCTAATAACGCTCTGATGGCTAAAATTAACACAGGAAAGATACATATAGCTTTAATGCAGGAACCTTGGACGATTCTCAACAAGGTTTCTGTATTAAATCACGTAAATTTAAAACTTTTCTACGCTGATACAGGATCTCGCCCGAGAAGGAAAAATAAGAAAATTTGCGATAGGTTGTGATGCCAACTCCCACGTAGCTTGGGGTAGTACAAGAACCAATCGCAGAGGACAAGCCCGCATGGATTTCCTTAATACTAAAGACTTGATCACATTGAACTTAGGTAATAAAGCTACCTTCGTCAATAAAATTAGAGAAGAAGTACTATTAGTTCAGAAGAGCTTATAAACGAAATTCAGGATTGGAGAATTTCGGACGAGCACTCCTTTCTGACCATCGGTACCTAAGATTCAAAATACTACGGCCACCACCAAAGCCGATAAAGTTTCGGAATAAGTCTAAAACTAATTGGACAATGTTCGGTACCTTACTAAAGAGCCGTTTATGTCAGGACACTTTTCAATGTCGAAATAAAGAAGACATATGTAGATGCCAAAATAAAAATGCTCACAAGTGCCTTGGTCAAATAGTGTGTCAAACTATTTAACCAGGCACGGCGTAAAAAGACCGCAGTATATATATACAGTACGAGTATCGTAGTAAACTTGGTGAATTTAAGAAAATTGTTCGAAAAGCCAAACGAGACTTCTGGAGACTTTTCAAACATTTTCAAAACTCAAGTCAACCCGAATCTATGGTCAAGTACACGAGCAAGAGACTGGAGGATATGTAGGAGATAATGAAACTCCTAATGGACTCTCATTTCCCACCCGGTATATCGAATAACATAGATGAACCGATATTGAAGGAAGGGGAGGCTAACACGGAAATAGTTATTACATCTGACACGGTTAAGGGGGCAATCAAGAGCTTTGCTCCCTATAAAGCTGCAGGGCCAGATGGCATCTTCCCGGCACTTTTGCAGATCGAGGCGGGACTGGTTTCCGTACATCTGTCTCAGATATTCACTGCAAACTGGCCAAAAGCAGTTATAGGACAGTGTATAATGGACACATTGGAAGGTTATACACAATCATCGGATGTCCCTGATTGCATACCAGACACAGAATACGTCGGAAATATTGAAACACTGATCCCAGATAGAATGTCTTGGTCAAGCGGAACATTAGAGCAAATTCCAGTAGGAATCCGTTGTTACACGAATGGCTCTAAATTGGGGGACAAAGTGGCTCTGAGGTTTACCTAATCATAACACAAGCTTCCAGGCAGAAGTCCGAGCAATAACGGAATGTGTAAATTGGATTATAATAAATATGGCGCCCATAGGGCTTAATATATTTACCGACAGCAGAAGGCAATTAGGGCGATATCTAAGACCGTATTGGATTGTAAGAAAGCTTTAACTGAATATTCTCCGAGAGGTAAGGTTTCATCATATGGGTACCGGGCTACTCGGAAGTAGTTGGTAACGAAAGGGCGGATGTAATAGTTTTAAAGTGAAGGGAGCTCGAGGTAGTTAATCTGAAAACGCAAAACCTTTCGACGCAACAAAAGCTGAATTAAAACTATGGGTGAGAGAATCCTATAAGGCTTCTTGGAATAACGAAACGCTGGGCAGAACCACAAAGATCCTATAGGGTGACCCTGATGAGAGCAAGTCGAGAAATCTCCTCAAAATGAGCAAGTCTGAGGTTAGTATGATGGTAAGTATTCTGAGTGGACACACAGGATTACGAGCACTTCTATACAAAATTGGACGTGCATGATAATGAGCGCACAACTGGCCCGAGGACAGTGAAACTCTGGAGCACTTTATTTGCCACTGTCAGGCATTCGTCGAAGTTAGATCCAAGTATCTTGGAAGTGATGTTATTCCGGAAATAACATTCCTGACTAACACTGATTGGAAAATTCTTAGGAATTTCGTCAAGGAAACTGAGTTTCTGAACACTGAAAAATAATTCATTCAGTGAACTTTTTTTCATGATAATGGGCGCACAACAGACCCGATAGTGGCCGAGGTGTATTTCTTCGGATTTGATGTATTATACATCCTCCTATCAACCTAACCTAATAATTTTTTTCTAAACGCTACGTTTTTGAACAATATTTTTTTGACTCATTTGAATAGGTTCATCATCTTTAATTGTCAAAAAAAAAAAAAAAAAAAAAAAACAACAACAAAATGCATTTTTCATAAAAAGTTTTTATTTTTATAAACATTTTTACAGGGATTTAGAAAAGATTTCGTAAGAAACATATCCGCCGTTACTTGATAAACATTTTTAAATTCGAGGTGATAAAGAGTTAAGATTCTATCAGCCTAATTTTTTGCATGACATAGTCTAACAATCCAAAGAACAATTCTGGAGGGAGGCGGCTTGTCGAACAAAATTGTGTTTCCTTCATACAAGCTTGGAGCTTGAGATGTAATATACATCCCGTCCCATCATGTAATTTGAAAATAAAAACAATTTCAAGTTATATTTCACTTTATAAAGCGTTTTATTTTTTTTATTCATAAAAATAAAACGAAAAACTTTTAAGGAGATTAATATAGCTAAATATTACCATAATCTTGTATTTTTTTCTAAATATATACTTATGTACTAGTATGTAGTATTATAATTATTTTATATTGGTAGTGATTTCATGGATTTAATAAATTTCATTCTTTCTTAATTTTAAACATTCTAATTTTTTACAAATTTCCGAAAATAGTCTACAGTCTTTTTTGTTTTCATCATTCAATTTCACGCAAGCCAATTGACCAATTTTTAATAAACGTTAATAAATAAAATTTAAAAAACTTTTTATGCACGAATAATACATTAGAAAAGAAACAAGGCAATTTAATATTAAATGATCTTAAAACTAATGACTTTTTATGTGCAAATGTATTATTAAATCAATTAAAATAAATTAAAACAAAATTTAGTGCTAAAAAGACTATTTTCAAATTGGCGTTATCATAATCGTATAAGTTTTCGTAATGAAAATAAAGTTCGAAATTCATTTTCTTTCATAAATATTTGCTTCGAAATTTCTAATCGAATTGAAAACTTATTCGTTTACAAATACAGTAATCCGCCATCTAGCATAAGTATGAGCAGTATAACAATTATTTTTGTTTCTGTAATAAATTGCTTTAGTTTATTGTTTTATTTTGTTATTTATATTTTATTCCATTTTCTTAACTTAATATGAACTAACTACTTGATTTATACAAATAAAAAAATCTATACTAAATAATTCAGTTTTCTTGTAAAACAAATATAATTAATCTTGTATTTAGGTATATTTCTTAATTAAGTGTAAAATAGATTATGAATGATGGTAAATCGGTGATTGTGTTGGTTGGTGGTTATGGGATATGTGCCTAGCGGTTATTGATGAAGTGCATTAAAGTTTAAAATATAAGCAAATAAAAACCTTAAAACTTAAAGGGATTAACCTTTCCTAACTATTTTAAATATGTACAAATATTTTTACAACACCGTTTTAAAATGTAATTCGAAAAGAAGTAAATAAATAAAACAAATTAAAACAAAATCAAAACTTTAAATTAAAAATGTTTACAAAAATTTATTTATTATCCAATAAACCCAATGGGATTTCACATTAAAACTATATAACAAGTTCTCTTTCATGGAATAGAAGAAGTTCGAAAATACATTTTCTGTATATTTATATTTCAAACAAATCCAGTTTATTTGAAAATAACTCATCAGCCTTAATTTTTTCATTAATAAATTCAATTAGTATTTTTTCCATTTTGCATTTTTCATTTCAAAATTATAATTTTCTGAATAATACACAATAAAAACGGCTGTATCTGTGTTATCTGGCAAATATTTATAATTAATACTAACAGATTTTTTCTCTTACTCCAACTATGACTATTAGACATAATAAAAATAATAATAAGAAAAAATATAGCAAGAAGATTTGTAAAATAACAATAAAAAATACTATTAATTAAAATTAGAATAGTAAAAAATAATTAAATTAAATTGAGATAAATTAAAATTAGAAATGTGTGGAGATATATGATGATGATGATGCGGGGGTAGGTAGAGTAAGGTAGGTATTTCTATTCATTCATTTAGTTCTTACGCTTTTTCTTCCTAACAATAGGTTTTTGTTGCATTTTAGGAACAGGCACCGGAGGCACACTCGAACATTCTGTGTTTTTTTAACTTTATCTACCAGTTAAAGCTCATTATGTTGTGTCTAATCAATATAGGATTTCATAACGATTTCATGTGATTACTTAATAATTTACAATACAAATTCAGATGTGTTTAAGTATCCCATTTGATGATGCAGCACAAGATGAGTAGAAAAAAAGTATGTTAAAACAATGAAATTTTAACTTAATCCATAATTAATGATTTTGATTTGTTTTTGTTTGTTTTGTTATCGTTATATGTTTGTATATATATAATTATATAATATTTTCATCAGTCGAAATCAATATTCCAGCATACATTCTACCATTCAAATGTACACTTGAAAATGATCAAATTCTTTGTTTTGAATTCTTATTCAAAATTGGTTTGTTGTCAAACTGAAATTTATGAAATTTCATTGATGTCAACAGGAGTAACTGGCACAGCTTGATGACCTTCTGTAATGATAAAGAAAAATAATAAATTTAATTTGTATTTTTTGATTTAAACTTCTAAAGAAATAATTGAAAACAACAACATGCTTTTTTAGTAAAAAAAAAGTTATAGCAACAATTTTTTAAAGGTTTAACTGGGTGTATAATAACTAACACAAAAAAAGTTATGAAATTTCGACAAAGACGGAAATTGAATAGTGCTTTAATGATTGAACCATCCTTTTACCTATCTTCTTTTTTCTTTCTAGTTTTTCTTGCAGGGTTTTTGTTTCTCTGTTTTTAAATCTCCTGTTTTTGAAGGAAATCACAATGGACTTTATGGTCTCCGAGTGGATATGCATCTTTTTATGGCGCATAACCCTTCTAAATCTAAACCTAATTATTAAACCAAAAATTTTTTGTCTCAACCTTTTAAATATTAGAAAATTTAAGCTTGTTTCAAGAAAATTTGGACCGTAACTAGTGTAACGTTTTGAATTTAAAGTCAAGTTCTAACTTTTTTTAAAAAATATAAGTAGATATATGAAATATTTGTTTTTTGAGACCGAATATTTGTCTTCAATAAGTGCAGTTTCAAAAAAATAGAATAAAAATCATAAAATAAAACTCAATAACCCATATAAGAATATGATCTACGTTTTTCTTTATTTTAAATATACAATCTAAACTGTTACTTTCGGTCCTTGCAAAAAAACTAAACTTTGTTTTAAATGCCTCTCCCTAATCTCAAATATTAATAAAGCAATCAATCTTTAACAATTTTACATTAGCTAATAAATTAAATAGTTAAACAAACAGGTTTTTTGTTAAAATTTTGTTAGTGTATTAATACAAATGGCTTTAAGTATCCCTAAAATAAAAATAATAAACATTTTGGGGATAAAAATGAAACAACAACTTTTGAACATTTTCAATCAGAAGCAAAATAACCCACCTAAAGGTTTTTTTTTATATATTTTTGAAAAACTTCTAAAATCTATTAAATTTCAGTTTTCTCTGAACAAGATGATGAATCGTCCGATTCAATTTTATTTGTATCATTAACAATACTAATCTTTTTCAATTCGAAAACTAAAGAAAAGATAAAATTAAACCATTTTTAAATTAATTTTAAATTGAAACTCAAAAAATCAAAGAATAGCTAAAGAATTTTAAATTATAAACTTACCACGAATAGCTTGACTAGCTTTGTTCTTATCCTTAATAATAAAGGCGGCAGTTATGAGGAAGAAAATACCACCAATAACCTCAACGAAACTGGTTGAGAAAAGAGAATATTGTAAAGCTTCGAATTTGATTAAATCAGTATCCTGCAAAAAGAAATTAAAAGATGAAATATTAAATGCCTTTTTTAAGCAAGGTTTTGAAACAAAATTTAGATTTCTAAATTTGTTTCTCTGCCCTTTTGTGATCATCAAATGTCTTTGTTTCTTACCTCTGTTAAAGCCAAATTTTGTGACTGCATTGACAGTGTTGTTGAGGGCACAATTAATGTTGATGCTTCTGTTGTCGTTGTTGTTGAATTGAAAACTTCACCCAATGTTAAAGACAAACTTTCTAAGCTACCACTGCTTACTAATTCCGAGGCTCTGTGGGCAGTTGTGCGTAAATGTTTTTTAATTGCTTCAGAAAGCTAAAAATATAATAATAAGTATAAATAATATTTAATTAAAAAGTTCAATACATGTTAAGATTTTTTGTGGACTATTCCTCTAAATGCGAACGATCATTTCTTTATTTTATATTAAAAACAACAAACAAGTTACAATCAATTTATTGCTTTAATATAAAATAAGAAAGAACATGTTTGTTTGCATTAAGTAGATCAGGCACTTAATTTTTTTCGTTCAGTTACTACAAGACTGGCATAACTCCAAATTACGGTATTTTGCATTTTTGGCGATCTTTATAAAGCACAAAAACTTTGGTTGTTGTTTTTTAACAGCTAAAACTATACAATGATTAGGTTCTTCAGCATCGATGACCAAATCTAATTTGATATGTTCATAAATCCATTGGACAAAGTAAAGTAAAATTGGCTAAAAAGTTTAATATATATAATCAAGCTGAACGGGACGGTATAATAAGCATCCGAAAGTAGTTTTGTTAGAAGTATTTATGTTTTCCGCTGCAGGTTTTCTTCTTTGTATGGTATTCATGCGGTATCTTGCGACTGAAGAATTGATGGCGTGTCTATGAATATCGTTAAAAGCTGTCGAATATTTCTTTCATCCGGGGAGTATCCAACTGTGTGTTGTTAAAGTTGGAATGACTTCTCTGGTGACATTATAGTAGGAACTGTTTAGCCAGCATGACGTTGTGTTTCATGACAGTTGACCTTTGTTTCCTCGTGTAGGTCATTTTCCGACGTAAATTGAAAGCAGCATTTTTGCAGGTTTGAATGCTTCCCCACTGGGTAATGTGACCCCACTGGAGTAGCATAATTAACCACTAATCTAAGAATCGTTTTATATTTAGCTAACAAAATTTCTTTATCCATTCCCCAAGTGTTGCCGCCTAGCGCTTTGAGAACCTTGTTTCTATTTCGCAATTTGTGCGTGATTTCAGAAGCATGAACTGAGGAATAAATAGGCTGTCAAATGTAAACCCTATAGATTTTTGAGTATTGCACGGTCGGAATTTAGGCTCCATTGACCACGACGTTAAAAGCTAGATTTACTCCCTTCGTGTAGATGGCAAAGAGTGTTGCTAATAACATCAATGGTGATAGTTGCAGGCAGTGATGCCAAGTGTAGGGATTTTTCCCTTTTTGTAGGGATTTTTTTCAAAAATTTCACGTGTAGGGAAAAAGGGAAAGATTTCTTACTATTGTCAAATTGTAGGGATTTTTCAATTTCATAGTTTTTAACAACTAAAAATATACCCTTTCATGTATTAAACTTTAAAATTAAAAATGAAATCAGTTTTAAGTGTATCGTTAGTAAAAATTCCGCTTGTAATTTCTACAATATATGTACCTACATATCGCTACAAGACTGGCATAATCCAAAATTCGGGTTTCTTGAACTGAGGTCTACAAAACATGCGACATACTAAAATCTTTCATATAGATTTAATGTTCTGAACATTTATAAAAGTAAACCGCAAAAAGAAAACGCAAAAGTAAACGCGAAAGTAAACCTTAAAAAACATAAAATAAATTTTTAACATCGAATCGTGATACTGCCATAAATCTATCAATTGTCTTGTTTTTTTTAATCTTAACTGAAGAGTCAGGCTTGGAAGATTTGTATTATGTAAAATTAACAGAAAAAAAATTTAAATTCTAGAAATTTCATTCCTAAAAATTAAAAAAAAAAAATACATATATATGTATATATGTACATATATTATAAAACGGAGCTAATATTTTAGTTTTTTATGTTATTTTTGTATTTTTTTAAGATAAACTTGGAAAAAAGTAGTGTAGGGAAAAATGTAGGGAAAATAAAAAGTGGGTGTAGGGAAAAAAGGGATTTTTTCTCATAAGTGTAGGGATTTCTGAAAAAAATCTCCTGGCATCACTGGTTGCAGGTTAGGTGCAGTGAAAGACTGATATAGTTCATCGTGATACCATTTACCAGAACGCAGAGTTTATCAATGTTGTTTACTTTTACAGGGTTTCTTTTTAGAAACTATCTTTCTTAAGTTATGCCATTCTTCAAGTAAATAAGCGATATGTAAAGCCGTGTAATAAAAACATTTCAAACTTACCACTCCAACCAAGTACGGACTACCAGCGTCACCCAACGCATGTGATATTAAGATTTGGAATGCTTCAGCTGTTGATCTGCGTGTTGGAACAACCACATACTAAAAAAACACAAAAATTTATAACAAAATTGAATTAGTTTCATTTTTAAAATTCTACAAGTTGACAACATTTAACTACTGTGCACAGAATAAACTAAATAAAAAAAGCTTTAGAACATTTTCTTAAACATGCACCCATATTAAGCAAGCAACAAATAAACTAGAATATATTAGTACAAAAAGCATTAAAGAGATGGAGCCACTTAAGCATAATAACACAAGATGACAAACATAAAAGGTAAAAGCACAACACATCTGTTAAACTGGAACACTCGGTCTAATAGATTCTGTTGCCAGAATAACAGTAAAGATAAATATAAACAAAAAAACAATAATAAAATAATAAAGAGAGAAAGAGAGCGCAACAACTGTTACCACAAAATTTACCATTACTTTTTCTTTACGGTACTTAGAACACTCCTCGAGTGTACACGCCGACGAAGTACTAAAAATATATTCTGCTTGTTATTTTTATTATAGCATACGTTTAGGCATTTATACGAATTATGGCCAATTGTTGTTGTGTTGTTTCTGCTTTTTTTTTCTAAAGGTAAGTTCACATTTATGAAATATTTGACGATTTTTAACAAATATTTCTTTGCACTAATGTGAACAACAAATATTTTTGATTATTAAACACAAAAACAGCTGATTTGTAACAAACAAAATTGTTTGGCGGTGATCAAATATGTTATTAATGTGAACATAATGTGAACACCATGCATAAAATATTTTCATCGATTTTCAGCAAATAATTGTTTGGTCTTGCAAGTGAAATGTAAGAACAAACAGCATTAAATAACAGCTGTTATGAGTTATTTTGGCTAAAAAATGAGTGTTGTCTAGTAAATAAATAAAAACTGAAAATTTTTCCTATAATAATTATTGGATTTGAAAAATTTATTTTTTAATGTTTAAAAAAGTATATATATATATATATGTATATATATATATTTATATATATATTTGGTATAAATCTAGCGTTCTAATTCAGATGATTTTAAAACATACCACATAATAGTAACATAACAAAGGCAAAAAAACTCTTCGCTCTATTAGGGTCCGGGAGTTACGGGCCTCCAAAGTTTTGATATATAATCGGATATATCTCGATTACTGATTAAACGATATGGTCGATATGGCTGTCAGTGGAAAGGTCTCTGAAATACCTTTCAATTGATGTATAGTATGGCATATATCATTAACCCATTGAGAGCCAAGTTCAAATTTTATGTTTTTTCTTTTGACTTTTTTACAAAAGTAACGTTATCTCAAATATATATGGATATAAGCGTACCTCATCTCACATTAAATTTTCATATTTATACATACTCTTACATTTTTAGCACATGTATATTTTACACTTTTAGCTAGGGGAAACTTTAAAAACTTTAACTATTTTTAAAAAATGAAAAATTATTTTAAAAAAATCGAGCCATATTTTAGAAAATTCACCAATTTTACCAAAAAGAGAAACATTATTTTAAAAAATCAAGCGTCATAACAAATCCTAGCAATATCACCAAAAAGTGAAAAATTATTTTAAAAAAATTGAGCGATTTTTTTTTAATTTTTAAAATAACCTAATACTAAATAAAAGACATACATTTCTAACTAATTTTATAGAAATAATAAATAATAAATAAACTAAATATTTTCACTTACATACGACAAAAATGTTTAAACTTGCATAACTTTTGCATTTCATGGATTATAGCTCTCAAACATATGTATATCATAGGAAATGTCAAAATATTGTCTACAAAATTTCATGTGAGATGAGGTATTTTTATATCTATATATTTTTTTGTTAAAAAAGTCAAAATTAAAAAAAAAAAAAAATTTGACCCTGGCTCTCAATGGGTTAATGATACATATTATACATCAATGGAAAGCTATTTCAAAGGCATTTCCAATGATACCCATATCGAACATATTGGTAATGTTGATGTTTGCTTAAATATGATTAAAATTTAAATTTTCTAAAAATATTAATTTTCAAACTAACATAACTCTTGCATTTCATGGGTTATAGCTTTCAAACATATATCATAGGAAAGCCCCAAACGTTGTCTACAAAATTTCATGTGAGATGAGGTACCGTTATGTCGATAAATTTATGAGATAACGGCACATCTGTAAAAAAAATTCAAAAGAAAAAACATAAAATTTGACTCTGGCTCTCAATGGGTTAATGATATATATCATTTTATACATCAATGGAAAGTTCTTTCAAAGACCTTTCCAATGATACCCATATCGACCATATCGGTTAATTAGTAATCAAGAATTATCCAATTATATATCAAAACTTTGGAGGTCCATAACTCCCGGCCCCTAAGAGGGTGCAGATTTTTTTTTTCATCTCTGTAGTCAGAAGAAAAAAGACTACCAGGTATTGAAAAAATCTCTTAAAATCAGCTGAATTAGAACGCTTGATGAATTCCTTAAATATATACAACCAATAATATAATATTGTAAAAGCACTTGCAGTTTTTAGCGATTTAATATTTAAATAGCATTGACCACATTAAAATAAAAGTAAACAAGCAGCTGTGCTGACTTTTATTAAAAAAAATTGTGCACAGTTAAATTAAATTAAATAAAAACAAAAAAGAAATACATACTTAAATAAATTTCAAAGGCATTAAAATTTACTTTATGTTGAATTAAAAATCATAGAATATGCAAAATTTTGCAGACATGGATGTTAAAGAACCAGTAGCCAAAAAAGCCCGTACAAAACCAAAATCTTTTAAAGATTGGGAAGAAAATGATATTTTTAAATTAATTTCATTGGTAGAGGCTGAGCCCTGTTTGTGGAACGCCTCAATGGATGGATACCACAATAAAGCCATTCGCGACATTGGCTGGCTAAATATTGCCGATAACTTTGAACCCGCATATTCGGTAGTGGATGTAACCACCAAATGGACAAATTTGCGAATTCAATATAGGGGGTATGCCGCCCGTTCTAAAACAAAGTCAGGACAGGGCACAATGGAAATGCCTAAATGGAAATATTTTAATGCTATGGCTTTCGTAGGCCGAGCCGAGGATCACCAAACACAACCAACAATTTCCAATTTAAATATTGCCCATGGTACCGATAATAATAGTAAGTGTATATTTTAAAAAAATATGTACCTCAATAACAAAAAACTTGTAACTTATATCCAGTTGATAGCGACACCCCCACTACGTCAACACCACCATTATCTACCCCAACAATTACCCGTCGCACACAACCCTCAAATCAACAATCGGCAGCAACACAAATTGCAGAAACAATGCGTGATGCGGTTAATGTAATGAAAGAGCGTAAAGAAAATGCATCAGACCCAAATACGTCTTTCGCTAATTACATTCTAAGCGAGTTAAAAACTTTAAATAGCACAGAAGCTGCGACTGTGAGAAAAAAGGTTACTCTTTTCTTTATTCAATGCCTGGATGAGGAAAAAAATAGTAATAGTAAAAATTAAATAATGTATTATAGTTAATGTTTATATTTCGTTTATTTTTGTTATTAAATTTACATATTTTTGTTATTGTATTTATATGAAACAAACATTGTTGTTATTATATTATAAACTTAAAAATTGTTTATGATTCTTTAATATAATCCATTCTAGTATGTCCTATTGATTTATATATATATATATATATAGTCTATAGTCTAGACCATTGACTAGTCTATAGTCTAGACTATTGACTAGCCTACAGTCTACACTATTGACTAGACTACAGTCTACACTATTGACTAGACTATTGACTAGTCTATAGTCTACACTATAGACTAGTCTATAGTCTAGACTATTGACTATCTATATATATAAAAATGAAAGTGTGTTTGTATGTATGTAAGTTTGTTTGTTTGTTTGTGCTTTATAGACTGCTAAACGGCTGGACCGATTTTCCTGAAATTTTCACAGTTTCTTCCTGTATGTCTGGAAGGAACTATAGGCTACTTTTTATGTTGAAATTTCATGTGGGCGACGTGCCACGCCCATATTAAGAAAATATTAAATTAGTATATCTGAGATAATATAATAGTTAGAGTCTTCAAATTTTGTCGGAGCAACTTTAGTATCAATATAATTATTTAAGACAAAAAGTGGGCGGATTAGCATTAGGGGGCGTGGCACCTCCCATATAAATTTAATACAAAAATTCGTTTATCTTGGAAACTATTATAGTTAGAATATTAAAAATTTGCACGAGTAACTTTAACATCCATGTAAACATTTTGGGAAATAAATTGGCGGACTACCCATGAGGGGATCAGCACCTCCCATATTAATAAAATACAAAAATTGGTTTATCTGGGAAACTAATAGAACTAAATTCTTCAAATTTTGCACTAAGAACTTAAGTATTCATCTGAACATTTTGGAGAAAAAAGAGCGGACTTTCGTCATGGGGGGCTTGGAGGCCCCATATAAATTAAATAGGAAAATTATTATATCTGAGAAACTATTAGAGCTAGAATCTTCAAATTTTAATTGAAGAACTTTTACATTCATGTGAACATTCAGAGAATAACGGGCGGACTTTCAATGGGGGCTTGGCACCTCACATATGAATTAAATACAAAATTTCGCTTATCTGGGAAACTAATAGAACAAGATTCTTCAAATATTGCAAGAAGAACTTTATTATACATATGAACATTTTGGAGAAAAAAAGGGCGGACTTTCATCTGGGGGCTGTGAGTTCCCATGTGAATTAAATAGAAAAATTCGTATATCTGAGAAACTATTAGAGCTAGAATCTTCAAATTCTACATGAAGATCTTTGACATTAATGTGAACATTTAGAGAATAACGGGCGGACTTTCAATGGGGTCTTGGCACCTCCTATATGAATTAAATAAAAAATTTCGTATATCTGGGAAAATATTAGATTTTTTTTTAATTTGTCATCGATTACATCAAAATCTTAATTTACGTTCGGAACAAATGTATCTCTGGAAAACATTACAGTTAGAATCTTCAAAATTATTAAGAAGATTTTTTATTTACATATATTGCTTTTAGGGTAGCAAAGCACACTGGGTATAGCTAGTAGTCTATAATCTAGGCAATTGACTAGTCTAGTCTATAGTCTAGACTATTGATTAGCCTACAGTCTACACTATTGACTAGCCTACAGTCTACACTATTGACTAGTCTATAGTCTAGACTATTGTCTAGTCTATAGTCTAGACTATTGACTATAGTCTATAATCTAGGCAATTGACTAGTCTATAGACTAGATTATTGACAAGTCTATAGATTTGTATTGATATAGTCGAGACTATTGTCTAGTCTAGTTTATAAACTAAACTATAGACTAGACTATATTGTAGACTATAGACTGGACTATAGCCTAGACTATAAGCTAGAATAGTCTGTAGGCTGGACTATAGAATATACTAGTTTATAATGTAGTCTATAGTCTAGACTTTAGACTTGGTTATAGGCTAGACTGGACTGAATCATAGTTTTAATATTATTATTTATTTGATTTTTTCTGTAAACTATTTACAAGTAGAAATTTATAACCGATTTAGAAATTTAAATTAAGAAAATCATATTTTTTTTTATAAATTTTCTTTATTATCGTGGTAATATTAATAACTGAATTAGCTATATAAAAAACCAACAGTCTTTCTGTAGAATTTTTATATATGTTTATATTGAAACGGAACTTCTCCCTCTTCAATAAAATATTGGGAGAATTCTTCTCGAATTACTGAGGTTTCTTGATTAACATATGAGCGGTGTGGTCGGAGGTTTGGTAAATTTTGGTCGATGTCATTCCGCCATTCACCAGGGATTAGAGTGCCATCCTCGGAATAGTGGTCAACCAATTTCGGATTGAAATATACGGTTTTTTTTTGGGTCATCAAAAAATTGTGCAGAGCACAGCAAGCACAAGTTATTGTGCGTACTTTCGTGGGTTCAAGCATTATTGCGCTTCGTAATATTCTAAAACGAGCAGATAGAATTCCGAAAGCATTTTCTATAACCCTTCTCGCTCTTGACAATCTATAATTATAAATTCTTTGTGTTGCCGTTAATGTTCGCAAGCTATAGGGTTTTAACAAGTGTGGTGAGATAGCGAATGCATCATCAGCAACAAGCACATATGGTACCGGAATATTTCTAGATGGAAGTGGTTCAGAAGGTGGCAAATTAAGTTTATTATTGGTCATAGCTTCATTGAAGGAACTTTTGCGAAAAACGCCACCATCTGATATCCGACCATTTGATCCAACATCAATATACAGGAATTTATAAGATGCATCCGAAATCCCCATTAGGACTATGCTATGTGTGCCTTTACAAAATAGCGGATAGGAATTTAAATAAGTCATATTTTATTGTTTAGGAATTCATTTTACCTTTATAATTGTAATAAATACTTCCTGAATGTGCTGGTGCTTTCATAACCACGTGCTTTCCGTCTAAAGCTCCTATGCAATTGGGAAAATTCCACTTATGCAAAAACTCCTCAGATATAGCTTTCCATTCTTCGATGGTTGATGGTGTCTATATTTTGATAATTAAAGAAATTAGTGTATTCCAAATAACCGTCAGTTAATGGTACCTTTAAATATTCCGGCTGAAGTACATTGTAAATTGCATTACAAACTCCTGGAACTATAACCGAGATTGTATTAAACGGTATCCGAAATACAAACTGGAGAGATCTAAAACTCTCACCTGTTGCCAAGTAACGAAGAGTAACCGCTAAACGTTCGGTGGCAGAAATGGGTTCCCGGAATCTTGTAGTCTGCTTCGTTATTAGAGGCTTAACTAGATTTAACTAAGGAAGCTATTAAAAGGTAATTAGGAATTTATATTACAACATAGAAACTTGCCAAATAATCAAAATCTTTTGCCTTCATTCTTAAAAAGTTGTGATACAGTGTTGGAGTTTCCAAGCGAAGCTCTTTCAACAACTTTGCGCAACACCCTTCCTCTTTTCGCCTTCGCACCCACTCACGAACCCATACTCTTTCTTGTTTTTCTTTTTTCCCTTCCAAAAGAATTACTGATACAACACCACAGCATAAAAGAAGAAAAGTATCTTCATTATTCATTTCAAACAAATAAATTTCTGTTTGTTTACTATTTCACTAAACAATTATTTCACACAAATATTTTGTTCAATCTGAACGGGCGGCAAACAAGTTTTTTCTGTTTATATTTTTAGCTATTTGACAGCTGTTTCATGAAACAAAAAACGGCAAATATTTTGTCACAATGTGAACATAAAACCAACTCTGTTTTTATTTCATATGTTTTACAACAAACAAGTGAAAAAATATTTTATGCAAATATTTCATAGGTGTGAACGTACCTTAAGTTTACGTTTTAAACTAAATATGATAACGTGATATAAAAACATTAAACAAATATATTATTGTTTAAGCCCTATTTTCAATAAAATTGTAACTTGAAGTAAACACTAACTATTGATTTTAATTTTTAAAAATTCTTTAATATTAAAGAAGAATTTTAACATTTAGTGTTAACAAAATAATTGTGAAATATCAAAAGCTGCAGTTAGTGATAACTACAAGTTTACGTTTTGTTGAAAATGGTGATTTTTAGTGTGATTTTTTCCATTAAACATTTAAAGTGTTGTTAAATTTAAATATTTTTTTCTAGTATGCTAATTTTTACTGTTAAATTAACAACAACTAAACTTTTAAAACCAGTAGAAAAGATAGTATGAAAAGCACAGAAAACATTTAAATTCAAAAAAGTTATTTGAGAAATGGTGTTGGTTTAAGAGTTGAACAAAAGAAGATATTTTAATATTTGCATGTAAAAATTTACTAGCACTCACGCACGCACGCACTTACACACCCCAAAAAATTGCCCAAAAGGAAGGGTTTTTGTTATTTAAATTAAAAAAACTGTCAGGGGTAAATGTCCATAATTTTATAAATGTTGAGGGAATTGCTTATAATGAGGTTTCCGAGACTTTTATATTTTTCGCATAAATTATAAATTATTTTTATAGAAATTTGAAATGTTGAAAAGATCACTAAATGATATAAAGACGATTGATAAATTAAAAAAATTCATGTCTTTTACATTCAGAAAAACTTTTCCATGGAAAATTTTACGCTTTAAAAAATTTATTACACAGGACAACACATTTTTAACACAGAGACCAAAGTATAATTTAAATTAAGATAAGTCAAGGAAGGGAAAACATTTAAAAGATATTAAGCCCTTATTTTAAAGTCGCCAGATTGGACTTTCAGATGACATAATACATTTCATAAACGAAGTTGTATTCGCGATGTTATAATCTCTCAAATATGACGAAACACGGGATTTTTAAAGATAGAAGGAAGATTCGGATTAAGAACAGCTCATTCCTTTAAAAATGTATACTCTGATCTCTGTGGTTTTTCCAATTTTTGTTGGCCTGTGTTATTTAAAACTCTTGAGTAGTATTAAAATTTATAATCATGTGTTTTCGCAAAAATATGTAAAAAATGTGTTATAATTTGTTGACGTTTAATTGAGGAAAGGGTTATAATAAAATTAGCACTTTAACGTTATTAAAATGTTATTAACAAAATCACCTGTTTTTCTAGATTAACACCCAGAAATTAAAAGAAAATTATAATGAAATTTATTATAATAATGCATTAGTACTAAAATGAAATGCAATCAATCAATTGTGTAATTAAAAATCATTGGTACCTAAGTATATTTTATATAATTCACATCAGACCACTTCTATTTTCATTTAATTGTGTCTATTAAATAGATCAATATATCCTGTTTATGTAATGATTAGATATGTATGATGTATATATATATTTTTAAATAATCTAAAAGAATTACTATTAATTTGTATTGGATTTTGTTGCCAGTTGACAAAAACTAATTAAAAATGAAAAGGAAAATCTGAAAATCATTCAATACCCACGGAAAAAATCGCTCAACATTAGATAATACGTTTAAAATATGTATATGTGTGTATATGTTTTTTAGTTGGCAATTAACATGAATGAGTTAAAAATAATATGAGCGATAAGAAAAATTATCATGAGACGGGGCAAATGCTACGTCAAAATCAGATGTTTTTCATTTTTTCGTTGATAAAATTTCATATTGATAAAATTTGCCAAATAACAATTGATCTTCACACATTTGATGTTGATTGATATTCTAATTCGCAGACAGAAATATGTATATGATTTGCATAAATAAAATGGAGTTTTATTAGAAATTAAAATTGAATTTTCTTGAAATATTTCATCACACACAATGAGAAATTTGTATAGCAAACATGCATTTTTAAAAACAATTTGTTTATTTATAGAAAAACTAAAGAAGAAATGGAAAATTTTTTGTTTAAAACATGAGTATGAATAATAGTCATAAAATTATTATCTTCTTGTGCGTATTTTGACGCAAAACATAAAAATAAAACAGATTGTGGGAAGCAAAAAAAAAAAAAGAAAATAAAAAATGCATTTTTTATTTCAAAATTATACAATCTTTAACTGAAATAATAAAATAAAACTGTATAAATTCCACAGTTATTTTTAATCATTTCTTTATGAATTATTACCCAAACGTTTAAAAATAACCTCCCTCAGCTTAAGGAATTTTTGTTACTTTTTTCAAAATTTGATTAAAATCTGTATTATCAGGGGAGGATGTTACAATAAGGACATTGTTGAAAGGTGTTATATGGGGATAATTTATGTTTACATAATATATTCCTATTATCAGCAAATTTATCATCATTTTAGTTAATAACCTTATTTGCAATGCATGTGTTTACACAAACGAATTGTTACATTTTCGATTTATAAACAAAACATCCCCCTTTAGTATGCCTGTCCTTTTTTTAAATGGGGATAAACATGTTTGGTGTAATATCCCCGGGGATTAATTGAGTACTATTTAGAAGGAAATGAAAAATGTTTAATAAGTATTCGGGCGTCATGTAATAAAAAAACATTACATGTTGAAATATTTTTGATTCAATCGTTGGACAGGGTGTGGTGGTATGTATTTGTCTTAAAAGAATACTCATAAATAAGGAAATAAAACGGAAATAATCTTTTGGGGCTTCGATAAGGGAAGAAGAAAATCTTATTAAAAATAACGATTGCATGACGTAGCATAGAATATAATATGCATAATTATTGCAATTACAAAATATCTTATTAAATTCATACATACATATGTATCTATGTGACCCTCCTCCCATCAAACTTAGGAAAGAGGGTGTGTGCTAAAACCCAGCAAGCATAAATATTAAAGTTGAATGAAATATATTAAATTCTTAAATATGTCGAGTAGTTGTAGTTGTTTCGTTATAGCTTAGCTAGAACTTATGACTGACAGATTATTCAAAGATATGGTTTTCTAAATTTCTTTATTAGTATTAAATAGATTTTGTTAAACCTTCTTTGGTTGGTTTTAATGTAAAGTTATTGAATGAATTCCGGTTTAAACAATTTTAAATTAAATAGAGTTCTTCAAAATCAATTTTTTAAAAATTCACAATTTTAAAATTGAATCCTACCGAATGATAGAGAACACAACTTAATGTTTACTGGGTTACTACATTTACAAGTCTTGTTTGTGGTAGTATTTTGCGATTTTGTGCAACGATATATATTTTTTTTTTTGAAAAACATATTTTATATTTTACAATGTGTATTTGAGAGTGCTTTGTATTTTGGGGTTGTGTGCGGTTTTTCATTTGTAAGTTTAGTGTATGTTTGTGTTAAGTATGTTTCAAAGAGTTTAGTTACATATTTACCAACACCATTTACAAAACAAATAAGAAGAAAAAAAAAAACTTTAAATAATTACATTAACAAAGTTGTACATAAGAAATAAAGAAAACTTATAAAAGTGCTATAAATACAATAAAGAATTTCTACAAACACCAAAATTAACTTGAAAAAATTAAAGAGCAAATATGATTGTAAATTAAAATTATTTAAGATTATGTTAAATTAAGCTTAATGGCATTGCCAAAAAAACTAATAAACTAGCAATATTGAATGAAATTATTCTTCATAAAGAAACTTGAAATACTTCTTTAGCAAATCAAATAAAAATAATTAAGATATTTAATTTAATAAATATTGCTCTTTAAAATTTCGTTCTAAACTACTACACATTAATAAAGTTTTAGCGACAATGTTAATTATAACAGTAAAAAATCATACTTTAAAAAATATATAAATTACAACATTTATGTGTTTAAATTAAGATTATAATAAGAAAAGTGAAAAGAAAAAATCGAAAACAGAAAAAAACAATATCTTACCAGCAAAATATCAGCAACAATGGCCCAATTCATATTTAATGACAATTGTCCCAAAAATATTAAAACATATGTGGAAACACTATTTTGTGTGACTATAATCATGGCACCCGTCAATAGGGGCACACTGAATATTAATCCAAAGGCACAGATTAAAGGATCGGCGGTGGGAAAACGTTTAGCCATTTTTTGTGACAATATTGAGCCTAAAGGTACGCCAATTATACCAGCTACCATTGTTATGGCACCAAATTTGAAGGATACACTATTGTTCCAATATTTAATTTAACAAAGTGCATAATAAAATTTTTGTTTGTTTTGTTCAATTATTCATTGAGGAAAAGAAAATAGAAAATAAAATATTTTAGATATTTTAGTAGCTGAATTTTGAATTTAAAACGTATTAATGTATAATAAAGTTTCAAATTAGCGTTCGTACAAGCAGAGTTTCTTTTCTGGTAGATCATTTCATGTTGAGAAAAAAAGTGATGGTAAAGTGTGTTTGTGACGTAATAGCAGCGCAGCAGCTCTTTCCTTAATATGTAACAAAAATGAAAAGCTAAATCTTACCAACAAAATATCCGCTACAATGGACCAACATAAATTCAATGCTACTTGAGAACCAAATATAAACAGGAAACATAGTGTTGAACTAGTCTGTGGCAACACTATGGCCATGTACGCCATGGGAGCTGATATCAAGAGTCCAGCCGCACATATGTAGGGATCACAATTCTCAATTTGTGTTCGTAAACGTTGTGCTAACACTGAGCCCAAGGGTACACCAATTAGGCCAGCTAACATGGTAATCATGCCAAACTTGTACGATACGCTAATGTTTTTGTTTTATAAAAAATAATGTTGTTTTTCAATATTTTAAATATTTCTTCTCACATTTTGTGCGTGAGATGTGATTAATTTTTAAATTTCCTAGATAACTTACTCATTTTGTATTAGATTTTCATTGCCAGGTTGCATTTTAAGACCGAGGAAAATGAATTTGGGTGCCCACCAGGCCAAAGCACCAGCCACAAAAGCTACACATGTAAAACCTGCCGTTGATAACATGAACGACTTATTTTTCATTAAATATTTTACATCCTCTCCGTAGGTGGTAGTGGACAAGTTGTGAGATCCTTCACTTTCACCACGTTCGGGATCTTTGATCAACCAAATGAATATCACAGCAGCAATTCCCAAAATAGGTGTAACACGTAAAGCCCAACGCCAATTACCGGCCAAATGAGCTGTTTCCGAACCCACAATATAACTGAAATATAAAGGTAAACATTAAATATTATTTGTTTATACAATTTTCTCCATCATAATGATGGGTTATAGTAATTTCAGGTTAAGGTTCAAACTATACTATTAGTGTGTTAAAATTTTATTATAATAAATAATAACACTTTTTATAAAGATTGTTACTGGTATGTACAACGTATAAAATTTATGGAGGTTAAAAAGTTCAGAATTCAATATTAAAGCAAAAACACACGTAACAAAAGATACTTTAATTAATAACGAAAAAAAAAACAACTAAAATAACATCAATTTAGACTCGAATCATAATTACACACTCACTCATAATCAAATTATATGAAAATTGACAGTATTTTGTAAAGTTATTAAATTTAAGAGTAGTATTGTCTAATTGGTTTAGATTTAAATTTGATTGAATGAATAAATTTTATATATTCATGGGTCAATTGATGGTCAATAATGAAAAAAATTCCAATTAGATTGAAATGATTATTTTGACATTGTCACTGTGAGTTGCACTTGTTGTTTTCAAAATTTAATTTGAAGACAATTAAAAAAATTTTATATTTTTTATATAAACTAATAAATAATACAACACGCGATTTATAAATAAATATTCTCACGTTTTAAACAGTAACATGTGAAAAGATTTTATTTAATAAAACAATAAACTAAAATATTTTAAATACCAACTAAAAATTTCAACTGATAATAAAATAATGTCTGCTAGAGATAACAGCACTTTATAGTAGATCGTGTTAATTGTTGCTTAACCTTTAAAATATTTAATATTATCTCAATTTGTTTGTTTACTTACCCAAAACCTGAACCGACTGGTATGGCGAAATAAAATACTGCCAACATTTTTGAACGTAAATCATGCACAAATAAATCCGAAATTATTGTAGGTGCTATGGTACTATAAGAAGCTTCACCAATTCCCACTAAAGCTCGGAATGTTATAAACCAGCCGAAATTGTTCATAAACGATCCCAGCAAAGTGGTGGTAGACCACAGCAGCACACCGATAGCCATTATCCATCGCCTTGAGTACCGGTCACCTAAATAGCCAAATATAGGTGCACACACCATGTAGGATAAAACAAATACTGTCTGTAAAAGACCTGCATCGTCATCACCGATGCCGAAATCGCTTTGTATATCTTCCAATACACCTGCAAGAAAAAAAGGGAAATTTTATTTTTAAACATATTTATTTGATCGATGTTAATTAAACCAGTTTTCTAACATGGAAAAATACCATATAATTTTGAAATATAATTATATAGCCATATAAACAAAATGTTGTGCCAATAACAACAATATTATTTAATAAATAATTAAATTATTTAATTTTTTTTTGTTTACTACGTGTTAAATGCCTCAATTTGTAATACAAATTTTAAAAATGTAAGGTTCTTTTATTTTGAAATTGAGTGGCGGAAAACTTTAAAAAATTTTATTAATTAAAACAATAAACAACAAAGTAAATTTGCCATGAATAAAGGCAAATATGTAAATTTTGCAAAACAACAACAAGAACAATTTATTAAAAGGTGGCAAATGTGAAACCTCAAATGAAGGCTAAACACAAGAACAATAATAATATTTGGAAATTTACCAATTATGTAGCTGAGCAATTATTCTCGAAGAATTCTACGAATAAATTTAAATTGAAATAATTAACAACTAAAACATTTGATAAATTATTTAAAAAGGTGCAACGCACCTCTAATAATTTGTTAAACAAACAAAATTATATTTTCAAATTTAAACTTATGTTTTTATTCAACAAGTTGGTCAAATTTGTTAATTATTTGCCATTGTTAAACACATAGTAGATGTTTATGATGATATTGTATGTTTCTATACTATTACATTTCACCTGTTTTCATTTTAAAAACCTTTTTTTCATAAAAAACTTGTTTTGGTATGTCTTCATTCATTTTTTGAGCATTTTTTTGGAATTTTAATTATAAATTTAAATTCAACATACATTTAGTCTGACGAAATCCCCAAAAAATATAAAATAAGTTGTTGACCTAATGATGCATAAAAGTTATTCGTGCTTTTTTATTTTGTTTTAATATATTTTTTATTAAATATAAATTATATATTTTGAATTAAAACCCAAAACACTTTCAAGAGTCCAATTTTATATTTACGTCAGCAAAGTTGCAATTTTTAACAGGTTTCATGAGAAATAAACAGATTTATGGAATATTTTTTTATTTTAACTTTAAATAAACAGGCAACATTCTAAGTTATTCTGTTATTAGCAAACTTATAAAAAGTATATAAATTTATTTCCTAGTATTCTAGTATATTCCATTTAAAAATATTGGTTTTGTAAAACATTAAGTTAAGATCGACAATAGACGAATAGATACTTTATAATACTTTATATTTCTAAAATAGGTATTGAAATAACTTACACAAAAGTACATTCTGCATAAGGGTATAGAAAGGGGTAAATAAAGATATATTAGAATTTTAGTTATTCTGTATTCAATATGAACTACTGCTTTTACAAAAGGATCTATCACTTATACAAAAAGCAATTAATAGTTAATATAAAAAACAAAGAATTAATAGCTTTCCGTTTTATTATTAACCTTTGGAAAATATTAATTCTATTGAAATTCTTATACAAATTTTGACATAGAATATAATTATTTTGAAATATGACCGAATGCCTTAAATGCAGTCAAGCATATTAAAGATCCACAATATAAACAAATGTAATTACGCAAGCAAGGTCGCATTTAATAAAATTCATTAGTATTTTAAATAACTACTAATAAATTTAATATATTACTGACTTAAGGTTTAAATAATGTAAATAATCGAAAATGCTTTGTAGTGGTGTGGTGGTCAGCTGTTTGTTTAAAATAAGACAAACAGAAAACAAAATAAACAGAAAGGGACAGAATGGCCAGATTGCTAGCGGCGCTGGTATGCCCGCGTATTGCGCGGCTAAAGCTCGCCGGATGGGGTGGTTCTTGCCGGCAATCTGGACCATAAACACACACTAACACAAAAATTCATACCAGCATTTGGGGTATTATTTGAAAAAAGGGGCCAAAAGTAGTCCTGCATCTCCCTGCGGTCATACCTATACACATTATTGTCCTCCCACTAGAGGATTCAACCTCACCATGACGTCCTCTTCCTTGACGTCCCCCAAATCTTCCCTGCGAACATTCACTTCCCCTACTTACCGCCGCTTTTCAAACAAATTACCAAATCATATTAATGACACAACTTTTCAAAATTTCTTTAAAACGTTATAAACATAATTTTTTTTATTAATTATTAGAATTTTTCTTAGCTTACGGCAAAATTTAAATTTTACAAAAATTTTTAATGGACAATATCCAAAAAAATGAGTTTAAGGGAGATATTTATTATTACAAAAAAATTTTTATATACAAATTATTGGTTTAACACATTTAGCTTTTAGATTAACAAATTTTCTTTAGTTTTCCAATTTTAAGTTTTTGTAGATTCTAAGCTTTAGATTTAAGTAGATTTAGGCTTTAGTAGTATGATTTCACAATATAATCTCTTAGTTTTAAAGCAGTATGTTTTAAATTTTAGGTTTTAAGTTTTAAATAGATTTAAGAATTTAGCTTTTGACAAATTGTTTTCAGCTTTTAGTTTTATCAAATTTTTAAATTTTAAGTATTTTTAGATTTCAGCTTTTAAGTATTTTTATCTTTTAGCTTTTAAGTATTTTTAGATTTTAGCTTTAAAGTATATTTTTTTTTTTAGATTTTAAGTATCTTTAGATTTTAGCTTTTAAGTATTTTTAGATTTTAGCTTTAAAGTATATTTTTTTTTTTAGATTTTAAGTATCTTTAGATTTTAGCTTTTAAGTATTTTTAGATTTTAAGTATCTTTAGATTTTAGCTTTTAAGTATCTTTATATTTTAGCTTTTAAGTATTTTATCTTTATTTTCTCCTCTTTCTTCTACAGGTCCTACGGCTATGGAGTTGGCAGGTGTTGCAGTGGGGTTTCCGTCGTCCGTATTCTGTCCAGGTCCGGGTAATTCAGGTCAGTTTGCAAAAATTTTAAATATCTTTTAAATAATTATTTATATATATTTATTTTTTTTTTTTTACATATATATACGTATAAAAATACTGAGCTACTGGGTGCAAATCTGCCGCAAATTCTTCTAAAAAACTAGGCCTGAGCTCAACCCTAACGTCGCGCACGCTTGGCGGTAATTTTTGGCCAGCGGTCTGGTCCGATTCTAACCAATGGTAAGCTTGTTATTTTATATATATAAATTTTTTTATTTACTATTTTCCCTTTTTTTTTATTAATTATTTAAAAGGTACTGTCAGTCCGTCTTGTCGTTCAGGGTCAAAAATCTTTATGGTCGAAACCTTTGGTATACCTGCGCACCCCAGGATTGGCAGTGCGGAGCCGATGTTCCCAAATGAAAGATCCCACGTTGGAAGTCGGCAGAGGTGGCGTTGAAATATTTGTATAACCTTTTTTTTTTTTTTTTTGGTGTTCAATTTATATAATTTATATTATATTATATTGTTTGATTTAAATAAAGACTTTAAAAATGCTTAGACGACTTTTATTGTGCGCACTTGCCACTTGCTGCTTCGTTGAATCTCAAAGAAAAAAGCCGACATTTTGCACATTAGGGTCCGAGAAACCTCGGATCCCATAATGGTTTCCTACTGTTTCAATTCCTTTCAGCTATTCAATCTACTGTTTCAAATAATTTTCCTAGTGTTTGTTTTTGTTTACTTTCATTTTTTTTTCTCAAAAATGTCAAACGACGCGTTGCCAACTTTATTTTTCCCTTCTTCTTATTTCTACAACCATTCACACATTTACCTACAGGGTGCACACGACAAACCCCACCATTTCTGTCATCCATTTATGGAGACAAAATGGGAGGGAAAAATACGCGCCCTGATTTTTATGAATTACCCTAATAAAATAAAAATTTAAAATTTTGGGCATTTTTTTATCCCCATATAAAAAATGCAGTCTGGCAACCCTTATTCGTTCGAGAACGAAAGTACAACTCTGTGCCGCCGTTAAAAATTGGACGGTCGGCGACGAACTCTGAACAGCTGCTTGAATGAATGGAACGGGAGGAGGCAACATAGGAAAAATACGCATGTGTAAATGCGTACGATCATTTTTCAATGGCGGTGAACAAGAATGGTAAGTATTTGTTAATGAGTTTTTATTTTTCGAAAATATTTATTTCTAATTGGAAATTTTAACATGAAAATGTAGCAAAATACTAATAAAATTTTTCTTATATTTTCTTTTCAGGAATAGTCGAAGGATGCTGCGGATTCTGGTGGAATTTTGGTAAGTAAAAAAAAATTATTAAAAATATTCAAGGTCAACAAATTTATTAATGCATTTTTTTTTTTGTTTACTCTTTTCAGGAATGTGACTACAGTTATTTATCGTGTGTGTGCAGACGTAATTTCTGGATTTGGACAAAAACAAAAAGGTAAGTAATATGAATTTAAAGTGAATTTAATTAAATAAAAGTGTGGTGGTAAAATAAAAATAAAAGTGCAGTTAGGAATTTGTGGACAAAAAAAAATTTTAATACAGTGATGGTAAAAAGTGCGCGGACGGACAAAAAAAAATGAAAACGAAAAATTAAAATTTCTTTCAAAATAAAAAGTGAAAAATTTATTGCCGGTATGCAATAACAATTAAAAAATTATTCTCCAGAAATTACAGTGCGGGACAAAAGTGAATCAAAGAAAATTAAAATAAAAAAATTAAATGAAAATTTTAAATAAAAAATCGGATTTGTGTCGGCAAACAAATAAAATTAAAACGGAATCTACAGTGTGTAACAAAAGTGTACGCAAAAAAAATTACAACTAAAAAAATTGAAAAAAATTAAATGAAAATTTACAATAAAAAAATTGTGTCGATACAAAAAAAAAATAAAAATGAAATTTACAGTGAGTGACAAAAGTGTAATAAAAAAAATAAATTGAAAAGAGAACAAAAAAAAAAAAAAAGCAAATTAAAGTGAAAACGAAATTGAAAACTAAAAAAAAATAAAAAAATTAAAGTTACAGTGTCGGGCAAAAATGCACGGATTTTAAAATTAAAAGTGAGCAAAAATATTAAAGTGAACAAAAAAATTAAAAGTGATACGGAAACTAAAGTGATAAAGAAAATTAAACCGGTAAAAAAAAAAATTAATTACAGTAGATAACAAAAGTGAAATGAAAATAAAATCATAAAAAATTAAAATTAAAGTGGTTGTGAAAATAATGGGTGATGAACCAAAAATAAAAAAAAATTTTAATACAGTGACAATCAAAAGTGGTATAAAAAAAAATTTTATATAAACTAAATTGAAAATCGACGCGAAATTAAATAAATTTTTTCGAATATTTTTTTTTTGTGGAAAATACAGTGGCGGAGAAAAATGGCAGTGATAAAAAGAAAATCTAAAATAAATTAAATCCTAATCTGTGGTGAAGTGTTAAAACCGAAAAACTGAGAATAAAAATTACAGTGGTGTGCAAAAGTGGTGTGACAGTGAAAATTAAAAATAAAAAAATTTAGAAAATTAAAAATTAGAAAAATTAGTGAAAATTAACAAAAAAAATAAAATTAAACGGAGTGGTAAATTAAAAAGGTCGTGAAAACAAAATAATGAAATCGGTAAACAAAACAATTAAAATGAAAACTATGGCAAAAAAAAGAAAGGTGTTCACTAAAAGTGTGCTGTGAACGAAACGAACTTAAATTCAAAATAAATAATAAAAAAAATTCTACTAATTCAAAATTCAAATTTTTTTTTTGTGATTTTTTTTTGTGTTTTATATATTTTTTTTTTGTGGTTTTTGTGTTTTGTATTTTTGTATTTTTTTTTTTTAATTTTTGTTTTTATATATTTTTTTTTTGTGATTTTTTTTTTTGTTTTGGAATTTTTATATAATTTTATTAGAACTTCTTTCTAACATTTTTCACTTTCTTTTCAGATTATCCATTCATTGGAGTAAGAAGACTAGACGACCTGGACTTCAAATAAGACTCAGGTAAGTCTTTTGTTAAAGGTGGGAAATGCAAGGACTAGATTCACCAAAGATTTCAGGATAAATCCTTTGATCCTTGGCGAGAAATACCCCTTGACATTTCCACATGAAAATATAAAAACAAAATTAATTTCTTAGAATAAGTGTTGTTGAGATTAGAAAATATCCTAAAATTAAAGATTTCCTCTAGCAAATTCATTATATTATTTCTTTAGGAATTTTCATTCTCAACAAATAATTGAAAATAACTAATATCTTGTTTTCTACAGGTTCCTTGGGGAATTCAAGTGCCCTCGTGAAGGACGAACCCTATGAAGCCAATTTAATTCAGGGGAATTGGCAAGTATATACTAAAATATATTAAATTTATATTTAAACTATGGGAATCCCTACTAAAGTCTTCCGAACTTTATTTCAGGTTACAACAACAACAGAAACAACTACTAAACAACAATTAAAGCAACAAATACAACAGAAGCAGATATTTGCAGAAAGGCGTAGAAATATCAGAGTGAGTGTAAAACCAAAAATTTAATAAAGTAGTATAAGTTGAATAGTCTTAAGTCGGACTGGATAGGAACCATATCTTTTTATAATTAAAGCAGAATTCGGTAGTAATAACAAGATAAAGTTTAGAAAAACTATGAAGCAAGGTCCTAAACTACTTGTTATTACTACTGACTTCACATGAATTGTGTTTAGTATAGTTACTGATTATATCCTGGACAAAACCGATGATTCTGTACTATTGATCATTTATATCCCAGCCAGTGACAATCTGCTTACGGAATGAACAAATACCTGTTGGTCTGCCAATATGTATTGTCCCAATTGTTTCCTTTGGTATCGGCTCGCTGTAAGATCGGACTCAGAATTGTGTCATTGCCCTAGGTGACTAATAACCCTTACGCTTTTAATGGCACGGTACCGGAAGGCTTTGATGGGGTTGCACCTTCTAATAGGGTAATGACCGGTTACACATGTAACCAGCTAAGAAACGTTGGCTTTAAGTCGAACCAAACAAATAATTATTCATTCCAAAGAAGCTATGGATCTCACTGGACTACGATATAAATGAACGATATGTACAGATCTCAATACTGCTCAGGATACAACAACAACTATACCAAACAGAAATTCACTGCGAGAGATAGATTTTCAATTAATAACAAAACTCAAAAGACTTTATCCAATTATAGTTACCTATCGAGTACAAATTAGATAAGGCTGACCACTAGACACGACAGGCGAAAGATAAGCAGGAGAACATGTTGGGACTAGAACCACCAAAGATTCTAAAGCTATTGCTTTAAATCTTTGGCGTGAAAAACCCCCAACGATCTTCCCTGCATATCCTCGACCTCGTACAGACTGTTTCCGACTGGTCGTACAATTCGGCATTTTAGAAATTTTCGAGCGAATTTGGCATTAAAATTGTTTTTGAAATCACTCTGCTGGAAGTTACGTCGGTAGACTTCCTGACCGGGAATGAACTTAATTGGACGACACCGCGTGTTATACGATTTTTCGTTGCGAGCGTAAGCTTTGTGTAAATTCTCGCGAATTTTCTGACGGATCAGATCCAATCTAGCAGCATTCGGAATGACGTTAATTTCTGGATCATTTAAGATTTTCAGTTTTCGTGCCAACTGGTAAACGCTACCATGGCCAATCATATTCATTCCGAACAAGGCGAAGTAAGGCGTAACTCCGATGGACGACTGCACGGAAGACCTTAAGGAAAATTCAATTTCGGACAAATGCTTGTCCCATTCTGTGTGGTCTTCCTGCAGATACGACCTTACAGCTGCCAGAATGGACTGATTAACACGCTCGGACGCATTGGCTTGCGGCGAGTGGATCGCGGTTCGGACGTGTTTAATACCGAAATTGTTTGTCACGTCGGCAAATTCCTTGCTTATAAATTGCTTTCCGTTGTCGGAGACAATTGTCTCGGGTGTTCCAAATTTATGGAAAATTTCTGAAATTAAAAATTTCACTACGTTTTTAGTGTCGGCTTTCGGCAAAGCTTTCAGGAACACAAATTTGGTTAGGTGATCTAATACAATAAAAATACAAACGTTGTTATTTTTAGACCGCGGGTACGGACCGAGAAAATCTATAAAGATTCTTTGGAAGGGGCGTTCCGTTTGGACTTCGGCTCCCATCGGTGGTCTGAGCGTAGTATTTGCTGGCTTAGCTTCTTTGCAAGTTTGGCACCTTCTGACATAGTTTCTAATTTGGACATTTTGATTTGGCCAGTAAAAATATTCCTTTACTCTATAGAGAGTTTTACCGACACCTCCATGAGACGCTTGTGGGGAATCATGACACGCTTTTATGATGTCCTCTGTCAGATCTAACGGTACCCATAATTTCCACGCGAAATCTTCATTCGTTTCCAAACCGTCGTAAGGTTTAGTACGCTTGTAAACGAAACCGTCGATTACTTTCAAATCGGGCAATTGTTCGGCATTTTTCTCGACTGTGTCTATGAGGTTACGATAATCTTCTGACCGGAAAGAAACTGAAGTTAGATCGATCAGCTTAGGAACGTTTAACGAGATTTCGTCCATATCATAGCGTGATAGGGTATCGGGTACAACATTTTGCTTCCCCTGCCTATGCTCAATCGTAAAATCATACGACTGTAGATGTAGACTCCACCTCGCTAAACGACCAGTCAGATCTTTATGGCTCATCAGCCACTTTAGGCTACTATGATCCGTAATGACGGTAAATGGCATTAGTTCTATATAGGGCCTAAACTTCTTAATCGCCAGAACTACAGCTAAACATTCACGT